CCATCCTCTTAGCAAAGTCCACCACCATCTGTCCTTCTAGGTTCCTTCCCTTAACACCAAACCTGCCCATCACCTCCTAATCACCTTTGTTCCCCTCACCAAGGTGCCCGTTGAAGTCTGCCCCAATCACCACTCTCTCCCCTCTGGGAATACTCTCCATCACCTCATCTAACTCACTCCAGAATCTCTCCTTCTCTTCTAACTCACACCCTACTTGTGGAGCATAACCACTGACTACATTCAACATTACCCCTTCAATTTCCAACTTCAAACTGATCACCCTGTCTGACACTCTTTTCACCTCTAAAATATTCCTCACGAGCTCCTCCTTCAGGATGACTCCTACCCCATTTCTCTTCCTGTCCATATCATAATAAAACAGTTTGTATCCCCCTCCAATGCTACACACTCTGCTACCCTTCCACCTGGTCTCCTGCACACACAGTATATCTACCTTCCATCATGTCTGCCAGCTCTCTACCTTTCCCTGTCATTGTCCCAATGTTAAGAGTCCCTATTCTCAGACCTATACTCCTGCCTTTCCTCTTCTCTCTCTGTCTACGACTCCTTCTACCTCCTCTCCTTCTTCGACCAGCGACGATTTCCACCAGCACCCTGTAGGTCAACAGCACTGGTGGCGGTCGTTGTTAACCCGGGCCTCGACTGATCCAGTATGGAGTTCACACTGATGATTTGCATGTTTAAATTTGGCATGTTTTTATGCTCTTCCTGACGCAACCCTCTCTATTTATCCGGGCTTGGGACCAGCACAGAAGTCACTGACTTGCAACCCCTGTGGCTAGATTCCATTTATCATAGCATAGGAGGGAAAATCTTTCCAGTCTGATTACTGGATGAGAAGCAGTGTTGCCAACTTGCTGACTTTCTCGCTAAATCTGGCGATTTTCCAAATCCTCTTGGTGAGTTTTTTTTTTCTTCAAAAGTGACTAGTGACAAATCTAGTGACTTTATCTGTTGTTATTGGAGACTTTTTTATATTTTCTTTCGGTTACTGTCCTCAGCAAGCAATGGGTGTTGCCGTGAACCCCTCCCCTGTTGATCAGAGCAGGATGTAAATGTAAACATTTCTTCAGTGTCACACTAAAATAAATCACTACATTTGACTCAGCCTCAGTCACTTACTCACCTCGCCCACTGTGTGTGTGCCTCTCTGTGACATAAGCTAAACATCTAGCTAGCCATCCAGCTGTCTCAGTCTAAACTGTGCGTTCAAAAATACAGAAAGGAGTGGGAATCAAGCCCTGAATTCAAAGGCTGGTTGAAGCCATTTATTGGAGATGATACATGGGCATACTGCATATTGTAAGGCTGATTTCTATGCCAAACTTTGTGATATATATAAAAAAACACACATGACAACTCAAAAACATACTCAAAAGGCAAAGCCTTATAATTGTTCCACCCAAAGCAAGCTGCCATTAATGAGTAAAAAAAAAATTACTATGCAATAAAGACTGAAGCCTCCATGGCATTAGCTATTGCTGAACACTGCTCCATGCTGGCATGTGATCACATTGGGGAAGCATGTAGAGCTGCTTTCTCAGACTCTACTGCTGCTACTCACTTCAAAATACTTCACTACAAACTTCAAATGGGGGGATGGGTGTGTGTATGTGAAAAAACAAACAAACAAATAATTAACCTTTATTAGGGCCAGACTAGTTACCATCATTTTCTCACATTGCCATTGACAGTTTTTTCTATTGTCTCTTTTTGGTCCATTTAGATTGTTAATGTTGTAACTCTGCCACTGTGTCTCTTTTGGGTCACTTTGCTGGTCCCAAGCCTGGATAAAGGAGGGATGGACGTAGAGCTAGCAAATACACCCCACATAACAGTCTTTTGATTAAATTTGATATTCTAACATTTACCAATACAGGGCAAAATTGATTTATGTATTGTGTTTCTAGACAAAGCATTAAAGTCATAAAGTTATTTTGAGAAGTGATGGCCTATTTAAATGGCAAAATAAAAAACAAAACAAAACAAGCATTAACAGAAGAAAGTTCATTTGTAGTTCTAAACATTTTTAGGGTGTTTTTTACTCACTTCTTGTCTCTCTCACGACGTTATTCATCTCTCCTACAGGGTCCATTATAATTACTCGCAAATAGACAATTATGCAAATTGGGTATGACGTCATTTAGCGACTTTTAGGACAGCCAATAGCTACTTTACTTACTGAGGAGTTGGCAACACTGATGAGAAGACAGCTCAGAGTTAACATCATGGGGGGCATTCACAAGCCATTCCCCCTCAAATGAGTCACTGTCAATATCTATGGAATGTAGAGCCCATGGTTTGTGGTGGCACTGTAGCAGCACAATGTCATATAAAGAGGTTTACATTTTAGTGATATGCATATGTATGCCTAATATTATTTGTAGCGAATGTATGTGACATAACGCAAGCAAATTATAGTGATGAATACATACATAATTTACATACTTACATACTCAGTGTTACATAATTGACACACATAACCGTGAATTAAATGTGAAATGAGAACTTTCATGTTATGCTTTGATAGTTGAACAAACTCCCCACTTTTTTAGCTGTGTTGATGGCGTACGTTTTAACAACTTCTCACTAAAATGCTACATGGACTGTAGCGTTATGTCCGACATAAACTGGACCAAAATCGAGCAAAAGTGAGCACACTGAGCAAAGTTACTTTGTTTGCCAATCCAGGAAAGCATGCTGGTTTCTGCTAATTGGATAATAAAAACACTAATGTTGCAGTCAGCTTGAAAGACTCCAAATTACAACTAGAATAATTCAATGGAAAGGTACAAAATTGAAATGCTAACATTAGCTTGCTAACGATGCCAACATCTACACATTAGGCATCTACAGTACTTATATGTGTCTATAAGGAAAACAGCCACATCTGTGATAAATGTAGTAGTGGCAGGTTAGTACAGCATGGAGAAAACACTTCTAGTCAGTTGTTGCTTTTTTTTTAACTTGATTTATCAGATTTTGTGCTAAAGCTTAGTTAGTGCAGCTTTAATGCTCTCTGTATTAAATTCATAGAAATAAAATAATTCTCATTATTTAAGTTTTGGAAAAGCGACTATTTCTCCTCATAGTATGGGTTTTTTTCTAAACACTGACAGATGTAAACTTTAAATTAACTTTAAATTAATATTGTAAATTAAATAATTCTGTTGGTATAA